CGGTGAAGAGTTCTTCGAGAAGATAGGGTTCGGCGCGAATGAGATCCCAATTATCGGATTTCATCACTTCTTTACGGTTAGCGATAATGAACTCAACGGTCACTGACTTCAGTTTGGATGCCTTATGCAGGTGTGAGAGGACCAGTATCTCTGGGGCCGACTCCACGCTAAGACTGGACATGAGATGCTTTTCGCAGAGTTCGCTCAGGTGTGGCAACTCATACTTGTCGGCCGCCGACAGCAGCTCTTTCGACACTTTTGACAGATTCGGCGCTTTTCCCGAATAGATGAATGTCAGCAACTCTTCCATCACATCCGGTCTAATGTCGGGTATTTCGATGGCATTCTCGCGACACTCGCGCATATCCGACGTCAACATAGCGTTGAATACGGGCGACCGCGCGGACAGTATAGCTTTGTGCGCCCGAAGCTCTCGGCCCTCCACCACGATCTTCACGTCCGAGAATTTGCCCTCTTTTTGCAGCGCCGTATAGTTGGCCGACAGATTCAGATCGAATCGGTCTAACGGTTCCAACGGATCCACTATTGTGTACAAACAGATCTTCGGGCGAATCAATGAAAACAATTAGACAATGAATTAATGCATTTATTGGACACATACCTCACAGAAAACGGTAATCTTATTGCTGTCCACCAAATGATTGTCGGCGTCGAAGAGCGTGTCTCTGGGTATGTATGACTTAATTCCAGAGGATTTGTTGCTCAGTTGGACAACACTTCTGTTGGCGTCTCTCGCGGACGACGACAGCAACGGATTGGGCGGCGAAGAGAACTCGAAGCGAATCATTTCGTAATTACCTAAACATATTTGCCATTCAATTATCATTGAATCAATCAGTCATTCAAATTCAATACAAATCGTAAACAATGGTCTGAATTCATACTGGAATTTAAGGCAATATCACCGCTCAATGGAGACCACGGATGACCAGCAGATCTCTGGCGTTGATGTCCGCCATTATTTCCGCCACTCAACACACCGGCGGCGCCGCCATTGATCACACCGTTGATCCGTTGGCCGTTGTTTTGGTTAAAGAAACACGAGTTGGTCTTCGCGTTGTACTTCTCACCGGTGGACCAGTTGTGTAACGCGAAGGTATACTTAGCCCACACGGCTTTGTCGCCCGACTCCCGGTTCAAGAAGACGCCCAAATACTCGTTCCCGTCGGTGATGTTCTTCACTATAGGCGCTATGATTAGACTCCAAGAGCTCTCATCGGCGTGAAAGACACCACTCTTTATGAGGTGATGATTGCGTTCGCGGATACCATCGATGGTGTACTCGTAGGTGAACTGATTCACTTCGGACCGCAGGTAACACGAGTACAACGAGTTGTTTGATA